AATTTTTTTTTTTTTTGAACAGTCATTTATCTCAAATGGAGAGCAACTCAACTAATACTATATTGTTATGGGTCAGTGGATACAACTTTCACAGTCACAACACATGTGCAAAGGGAACATCTGAACACTGAGATAAAAGGGGGTACCTTAAACTCATGATCTCATATCCCTGCTGGTAAGTAATTGTCATTTTCCATTGATCGTAGGTACAGTTCATGAGAAATTGAGGTTATTTGAAAAAGTTTTGAAATGCAAGTTTCTGATACTTATTAACATATTTAGGTAGTTACTAAAGACAGTGACATTAATAGCTTGGGATAAATACCAGAAGTTACCATCTCAGACCATTTTCTTTATTTTTTAAAAATGTTTTTATTGATTTTTAGAGAGAGAGGAAGAGGGAGAGAAACATCCACAAGAGAGAAATATTCATGGGCTGCCCACTGCACATCCCCTACTGGGGATTGCTCCAGCAACCCAAGCATGTGCCCTTACTGGGATTCGAACTGGTGTCCACTCAGTGCACAGGTTGATGCTAATCCAACTGAGCCACACTGGCCAGGGCTATTATTTTTCATCTAAATATCATCTAAGTCAGATATAAATGAGACTCAAGGTCCAATTCATCCTGAGGCAAAATTCATCCCCAGCTATGAACCTGTGATACTAAGTAAAACGTTTCCAAAAGACAGTGTTGGAACAGGCATTGGATACACATTTCCATTCTGAAAGATAAAATGAGAAATAAAGAAGGGATGAGGTGTCCAAAGCAAGTTCAAAATTGAGCAAGGCAAACTTCATGAGATTATATGGTTCATGAATAATCTTCTTTGGCTTGCAGCTTTGCCTTCCAGACCCACTGGGACAGTGGTCTGGTCTCTGCAATGCATTGGACAAGAGTCCTACCCCAGGGATTGGCCTGGTGCTAATCCCACACCCAGGGCTTAGTACAGACACTCTGGTTGGTTCCACCCACAAGACAGAGGTGAGTGTTGATGACCCTGTCCATCTGGATCACTTAGGGACTCATTAGAAATGCTACTTCTCCCTTGGCCAGAGTGGCTCAGTTGGTTGAGCATTGGTCCTGTGCACCAAAAGGTTGCTGGGTTGATTCCTAGTCAGGGCACATACCCATGTTGTAGATTTGATCAATGGTCAGGGAGTATGTGGGAGGCAATCAATGTTTTGCTCTCACATTTATGTTTCTCTCTCCCTCTTCCTCTCTAAGCATATCCTCAGGTAACAATTTAAAAAAAAAAAAAGCAAGAAATGCTACTTCTCAGCCCAAAGCCCAATCTACTGACTCACTTTGGGGATGAGGCCCAAGAGTCAGTGTTTGAAGACGCTTCGTGTTGTAGATGCAGAGTAGAAGAAATGCTATCTCTTGCTGTATTTCCTATGGACCAGACACCCAAGATTCACGTGACTAAAATGAGCCTTCTTCATAACTGCAGATGGCCCCTCACTGTAGGCCCCTAGAACCTCCCACCCTGCACTCCACCTGACTTGCCCTATTCACCTGGCTCACCCCATTCCTTGCTGTCCCCTCAGAACACACATGACACTGAGACTTGAAGTACCTGCATCCAGAGAGGAAAAGGACTCAGTAGATTCCCCCAGGAAAAACAAGGAGAGCCTGTTGTGGATCTACCCAACAGGCAGAGCCCAGAGGATCATCCACCCAGGTTTTCCTGAGACTGTTTTTCTCAGAGGACTTGAAGAGGACAAGAGAGACCAGTAGTGAACCCAGTGCTCAGTAATTCTCCCTGGTGTCAGTGTGTCTGGAAGAGCATCCCCAAGTGGTGGTAAAATGCATGGAAGGCAAAATCCAAACCAACAATTAATTATAGAAAAGATGAAAATCACATGGAGCATTCAAAATGTGAGAACTCCTAAAGAGGTATGGGTGGTGCACGGCCAGTGTGGTTCAGTGGTTGAGCTTTGACCCATGCAGCAAGCATTCGCCAGTTCAATTCCCTGTCAGGGCACATGCCCAGGTTATGGGCCTGATCCCCAGTGAGGGGCATGCGAAAGCAGCCAATCGAAGTTCTTTCTCATCGATGTTTCTATCTCTCTCCTCTCCCTTCCTCTCACTCTAAAATAAATCAATAATGAAAATAATATTTTTGAAAAAATATTATTTTTCAATATTATTGAAATATCAGAAAAGCAACTTAGAAGGAAGCATATGTTTTGGCACTTAGGTGAGGCCACTCGGAGTCTCCAAGAGCCCAAAACATGTTCAAACAGCTCCCTTCCCTCTGGCAGATTTGGGTTCTAAAGTCTTTATCCTGTGGAGCTTCTGCAACCTCCAATCAGCTGGAAGTCCCATCTGTTAGGTGCCTGGTTTTGCAAAGTTTTCTCCTGCACACAGTTAGTTTAGCTTTCATCCTAACACCATGGGATCACAATAGTTCTTCAGCTCCTTCTCTGAGCACGTCACTTTCATAGTGGAAAAATTTGCTCTTAAGAAATTGGCAAACACGAAAACACTACAAAGCACAGCTGAATTTATTGTATTACTAGAATCCTGAATTTAAATGATGAAAATTGTAAAAATACAGAGTAAAAAACATGTGTGGAGTTTACAGCCATGACATTGTGCATGACACAAAAAGTCTGAAGGAAATTTAGAAACATTGCACCATACAGAAAAATGATGCTGATACTATATCATGAGTAACAGTATAACATGTCTTCTTTTTTCAGGGTCTTATTTGTAAACGAGAAGGGAGATAACCATAACTTAGAAAGAGGAAAAAGGTAAATAATATGAACAGAAATTGTACTACATATATACAGGTTGCAAATGAACACATGAGAAAAAGCTCAAAAATCACAAATCCTGCCCAGCCAGTGTGGTTCAGTGATTGAGCACTGACCAATGCACCAGGAGATCGCCGGTTAGATTCCCAGTCAGAGCACATGACCAGGTTGTAGGCCAAATCCCCAGTTGGAGGCATGCAGGAGACAGCCTATCAATGTTCTTTCTCATCGATGTTTCTATCTCTATTTCCTCTCCTTTCCTCTCTCTCTAAAAATCAATAAAAATACATATATATATTTTAAAAATCACAAATTTCTAACCATGTGCAATTAAACCACCACTGAGCTAGCATGACACATGGACTGAAAAGGCTGATATTCAAGTCTGACCATATGCAGCACTCGCAGGGATGTGAAAGAATGGGGATGCAAGCAGGAACAATCTAGATCAGAGTCTGGCAGCTTCTTAAAAAATTAAACACTTGCCTACTCTGTGACTTAGGCATTTCAGATAAGGGTTGTAACAGAACAGAAATGCAACATCTCTCCATATAAAGAACTGGTTTTGTTGTTGTTGTTTTGGTACGTGCCCCTAGTGGGAACTGAACCCAGGACTCTCTGGTCCATAGGCCAACGCTCCAACCGCTAAGCCAAATCGGCCAGGGCCTGGTTTTTTTTAAATCCTCCTGAGGATATTTTTCTATTTATCTTCAGATAGAGTGGGAGGGAGGGAGAGAGGGAGAGAGAAACATTGATGTGACAGGGACACACTGACTGGTTGCCCCCAACATGACCCTGACCAGGGCCAGGGATGATCCAAAACCGAGGTATGTGCCCCTGACTGGAATCAAACCTGCAACTCATTGGTCCATGGGCCAACACTCTAACTGCTGAGCCAAATCAGCCAGGGCTCCATATAAAGAATTGTAATGAAATGTTCAGAGCAGCATTATTTGCAATCGCTCCAGAACTAAAAAATACCCAACTGCCCAAACAGTTGAAAGCATACTGGTGTATATCCAGAGAACAAAATACTACTCAGAAATAAGAGAATGAAGTACTTATGTAGGCATCATTGATGACTCAAAAAACTACGCGTGAGGAAATGGAGGGGGAAAGAAATAATAAACACATTTTAATTTCTATCATATAAAAGTCTAAAAAATAAAATCTAATTTGTAAACAGAGTAAACCAATAGTTACTGTGAGGACCAGGAAAGGTATGGAGTGATATTTTTAAAAAGGACACAAGGTAAATACGCAAGTGACAGATGTTCATTATATAGTTGTGATGTGTTCACAGATTCTTACATAGAAATACTTATCAAACTATAAACTTCAATGTTTTCTTGCATGTCAATCATACCTTACTAAATAAAGCTTTATAAACTATTCAAAATAAAAACCTAGATCTCCCACTCCTTTCAGAAAATAAGCTGGTAACTCTATATTGACTCCACAACCTCTTCTGCCCTAGCGAGGTCAGGCTGGCCTCAGTGGAAGGTGGCCAGCAACGAATGAGAGATGTCGTCATTACCAGGACTACGATGATGGTTTCTTAGGTTCATTCCTATATCAAAAGTTAACAAAAGGTACACATTAAATATATGAAGGTAGTACAGGTAAATTAGTAGTGAAGTTTGAAAAAATGGCTAAAGATCTCCCTGACAGAAGTGGCTCAGTTAATTGTGTTGTCTTGTACACCAAAAGGTTAGGGGTTCCATTTCCAGTCAGTACACATACCTAAGTTTTGGATTTTATCCCCAGTTACAGCATGTACAGGAAGAAACTGATCAATATTTCTCTCACATTGATGTTTCTTTCTCTCTCTCGCTCCCATCCTTTCTCTAAATATACACTCGAGGGAAGATTGGAAAAAAAAATGCCTCAAGATTTATTTATTTATTTATTTATTTATTTATTTATTTATTTATTCATTCATTCATTCATTCATTCATTCATCCTCACCCGAGGACATTTTTCCATTTTTTTGTTCAGATAGAGTGGGAGGGAGCGAGAGGAAGAGAGAGAGAGATATTGATGTGAAAGGGACACATCAAGTGGATGCCTCCTGCACGACCCAACCAGAGCCGGGGAAAAACTGCAACCGAGGTATGTGCTCTTAGCAGGAACCGAACCTGGGTCTCTCTGGACTGCAGGCCGATGCTCTAACCGCTGAGCCAAACTGGCCAGGGCAAAATGCCTCAAGATTTTAAAAAAATGTCTATATCTCAATCTTTCTGGAAAATAGGTTTGATCACACTATATTCACTTCACCATCTCTCTCCTCATACTCTCTATGGGTCAGTAGTCCCAAATTACATAAAACATAGGGTGTCCTAAACAAATGTATACACACAAAAAGTGTAATTATAAAGCCAGTGTTTATTAAAATACATTTCATTTTCAAAATGTAATATAATCTACAGACACTTTGTATACAGTTTTTGGGGGACACCCTGTATGTTAAGAAATAAACATTTCCACCTGAGTAAACAGGAATGTTGCCTACGTCAAGAGCCACATGCTAGACCACAGGTCCCCTTTTCTTCTTTTCTATTGTGCAACAATGTCTTTGAGGTGGACATTACTGAGCCGCTATGGGAACCCACAAAACCTTTTGATTATTTTTATTTTATCTGACAATAACCTCACCTACACAAGATAAACATGCCTGGGGGTCCTCAGATATGTGTACACTGATCAGCAGTCAATGTCGCAGACGTGTTTCTGGAGGCACATTTAGAAGAGACACAATCCATCTAATTGGCTGCTGTCTCCTCCAATCCCTAGTAGGCCAGTATTTCTGTAACTATGGTTTTCCCTGGACCCAATCTTTCAAACTGACCCTAGCCCAGTGAATTGTGGCCATCAGGGCACATGACACTTTGTAGACCTAAGAAAGATATCTCCTTGACAGTGCTGGTATAATCTGCGATATCTCCTTTGGTTGAAGGAAACATCATGCTACTCTCATAAGTACACAAGGATGTCACACCTGCCTTCTACTCGGGGTCCTATTTAAGACTCCTCAAACACATAGCATCCAACTGAGGACAAGAAAGTCTTTCAGTCCTTCCTAGGAGGCTTTGGACAGCTATGCAAATTTGGTCAAAACTGGACAGGTATTTTCTGCCATCATACAGTCCCTCCACAAGCAAAGAAAGTTTGAGACCCCTAAAAAATTGTTCATCTCTTCATGCTCACAGAACCTGAATGGAGTTATACACTACTCCATACAGTAAAAGAACAACCATGATTAAAACAAATTAAAAGAGTAATGCCTCAATTATTGTACAAGCCAAAGCCATGAGCAGCAGGCAATTCCCAAGTTCATGTACTGGAAGCTGGAATATCTCATCACAAGTATCATGTTAGATGAACATGTCCTTGGACCACGTAGTCATTTTACTGCAAGCTGCAATTCAAGATATTTTCTAAGCCAACACATGGACTCAGGTCCATGTCCAAATTAGTCATAATAGGAATACTGACTCACTAAGGGCTATGGTCATTCTATTTTGATACAATACACATGAGACCAGAGGTCAGCTTCCCTGAGCACACTAGGGATGGAACTGTTGCAAATTCTGTGGACCTGCAAGGTGGTGAAGGTGAAAGGAATATAGCCTCTGAATCTAGCAGCACCATAAACTTAGAAGGAGCCTTGAGCAAGTCAGAACGTGCAACATACTTACACACACTTCCCACATAAATGAAACTTATGAGGGAGCTCCACGTCGTGCATATTCAGATGTATACATTTCAATTCAGACAAATACCTCCTCAAAACGTTTCCTCAAGTGCTGTCACACTGAACAACTGCTCATTCCCAACACATTTTAAGGCCTTTCTCCAGTGTGAACTCGCTGATGATAACGAAGTTTGGAATTAGAGATAAAAGATTTCCCACATTCACTGCATGCATAAGGCCTTTCACCAGTGTGAACTCTCTGATGATAACGAAATATGGAACTATAGATAAAAGATTTCCCACATTCACTGCACTTATAAGGTTTTTCACCAGTGTGAACTCGCTGATGATAACGAAGTTTGGAACTATAGATAAAAGACTTTCCACATTCATTGCACTTATAAGGTTTTTCACCAGTGTGAACTCTCTGATGATAACGAAGTTTGGAACTATAGATAAAAGATTTTCCACATTCACTGCATTCATATGGCCTTTCTCCTGTGTGAATTCTCTGATGATAACGAAGGGCGGAACCAGAAGCAAAAGAATTTCCACACTGACTGCATTTGAAAGGCTTTTCTTTTGTATGAGCCTTCTGATGATAACAGAAGATGTCACTACTGGTAAAAGATTTTCCAATTTCACTGCACTCACAAGATCTTTCTACAGGATGAACTCTTCGATGTTTTGCGAGGCTACTGCTTGTGGGAAAAGACTTTCCACATTCACTGCACTCATAAGGCCTTTCTCCAGTGTGAACTCTCTTATGACAATGAAGGGCATAAATCCTGGTAAAAGATTTCCCACATTCACTGCATTCATAAGGCCTTTCTCCAGTGTGAACTCTCTGATGACAACGTAGGCCATAGATCCTGGTAAAAGACTTCCCACAGTCAGTGCACTCATAAGGCTTTTCTCCTGAATGAGTTTTCTGATGAGACTGGAAGGTAGATCGAGAGATAAAAGATTTCCCACATTCACTGCATTTATAAGGTCTTTTTCCTGTGTGAATACTGTGATGATAACGAAGACCAGAGCTAGTGGTAAAAGATTTCCGACATTCACTGCACTCATAAGGCCTTTTTCCTAGGTGGCCTTGCTCATGATACCGAAGGGTGAAGCTAGTAGTAAAAGACTTGCCACATTTACTGCACACAAAAGGCTTTTCTCCTGTGTGACTTCTCTGGTGTCGAACAAGTTTCCACCTAAAGTTAAAGGATTTCCCACACTCACTGCAGTCATAACACCTTTCTCCAGTGTGAAGTCTATGATGATAATGAAGGGCCCTACGAGTACTATAAGATTTTCCACATTTACTACATTCATAAGGCCTTTCTCCTGTGTGAGAGCTCTGATGATAACTGAGGCCAGCGACAGACGTAAAAGATTTGGCACAGTCATTACACTTATAAGGCTTTTCTCCAGTTTGAACTCTCTGATAACGTATGAACACTGAGCTAGGACTAAAAGATTGTGTACATTCACTGCACACGTAACTGTTTTCTCCATTGTGCCATACCCGGGGATAAATAAAGATAGGTTTGTGGCTTAAGGATTTTCCACATTTGCTACACTTGTACTGCCTTGCTCCTGGATGAATTTTTCGATGCTGATTGAGGATTGAGCTTCCATTAAAAATTTTTCCACTTTCACCACACAGACGAAAACTTTTACCAGTGTGGACTCTGCAGTGCGTAACAAATGAGGATTTGTACCTGAATGTTTTTCCACATTCACTGGATACAAAACACTGTCTTCCAGTATTGACATCTTGGTCCTGAACAAGTATGTGTTGGGGATTAAAGGCTTTCTTGGATTCTCCCGAAGTGTAAAGACCTTTTCTGCTTTGTTCCCACTGGGTGTCTTTGTTTGGCTCCTTCACTTTATCAGTGTCCTGTTGCTGCTGATATCCCAAGCTGGACAGGACGTCCTTCTCAGCCTCTCCACAGGTAAATGGCTTCCCTGACATGAGGCTTCTACAGCTCTTCAGAAATGAGGCTGTGTGCACATTACTTCTGAAGGGTTTCTCTCCCATGTGTACCTCCTGGTGCTGGTCACAGTTTACATTGAAATAAAATGGTTTTGCACATGCCCCACACCTCAGCAATTTCTGGCTGTGTTCTGTTCCCTGCTGCTCAACCAAGTGGAAAATGTCCCTCAAGACCGGCCCACAACGCTCACAGGGGTGGGTCTTCTGGGAAGAGGCAGCTGCCTTGGGATTCTTTGCCTGTGACACTCCAACAGAAATGCTCTGTTCAGTGGGTGCCTCCACATCATCTCCTCCACAGCAGCAACCTGAACACAAAGAAATGCTGGTGAAGTAGATGTTGACTAAAGAAAGGGGAGAACCCCATAACAAATATTCACGTGTCACATGTAGGCATGAATACATGACATGCTTTTCAAAACAAAAACATTCATTTGTAGGCAGACTGACTGTTGTGCAGTAATAGGCTAAGTTCATAAAATGGAGGGAACTCCACTAAGGGAAGGATGCCGGGACAGGGTATGACAACAAAGAGCGGCACACAGTTCATTTCCTCTGCCAATGGCTTTCTTCATACCCATCCCTGCTGATGTGAGGGTGAGTAGAAGCATGCCATAGCATCCTCAATGTCCTGCTTTGTGGAGGACTCCAGAATAAATTTCAACACCTCCACTATAGCTGAGGACCTGCATATCTGAGGCCAAATGACTATAGGCATGGACCCTAGCTACCTGCCCCACAGAAGATAGTAGCATCTTTCACCATGGGAGACCTGCCAGAGAATATGTGAGTTGCCCCCCACCAAGTAAAAGAAATTGGTTCATTATAGGACCAGGGCTGCCAGACTCCTCACCCCTGTGACCCCAGAGCCACAACTGTTCCTTGAATGCCCAGAATACCTAACCTGACTCCTTGGCTGTCACACAAATGCCCATGTCTTAGGCACCAAATCCATGGCAACCATGGGGTAGCTGGCTCCTTAGATTCCAGAGACACTGTCTCTCTGCATGTGCCTGAGCTCTGGTCACAGGCTCCAACACCGATCAATGTGGGACTGCATCTTACACAGCAAAGTCAATGCCACTGGGGGCTATTCAGTACCTAAGACACTAAAATTGGTATTGTTCTGAGTCTATTCACACCCTGGAATCCAGATTCACACCTGCTCCATAGGTGTCCAAAATCAGACACCAGCCATGGCCGGTTTGGCTCAGCGGTTAAGAGCGTCGGCCTGCAGTCCAGAGAGACCCAGGTTCGGTTCCTGCTAAGGGCATGTACCTCGGTTGTGGTTTGTCCCCGGCCCTGGTTGGGGTCATGTGGGAGGCAGCCACTCAATGTGTCCCTTTCATGTCGATATTTCTCTCTCTCTCTCTTCCTCTCTCTCTCTCCCGCTCTATCTGAACAAAAAATGGAAAAATGTCTTGGGTGAGGATAAAAAAAAAATCAGACACCAATTTCACTATCACCATGGGAATCCCCTTCACTTGGCACCAAAAAGGAAACACCTGGCCAAACCATTGTCCATAAAAGAACAAAATCAGCAAGTCACCAGAACCTTCTCTATTGGTGTAAACACCAAAGCCTTAGCTATTGAGGACCCCTGCAATGTCACTAATGTTGGCCTCAGGTTACACAGCTTCAGACATTAAGCTTTTGGGCCTCACTGTGCTCAGAACTGCAACTCCTAAGTCAGCACAGTGACACCCACACAAAGGTGAAGATCTACCCTACCAAGACCTTTCTATAAAGTGTGGAAAACATTCTGCTCTGTGAAATGTACAGACATCAACACAATACTAAAAAGTTCTCAACTAAACCAACACAATAACTTATTAATCACCCCAAAGAAAGGCAGATCTGTGAATGGTCAGAAAAAGACTATATTTTATATATATATATCCCACACAGACAATTCAATAAAACAAAGAATAAACAAACAAAATAAGATATTCAGCAGAGAAACAGAAAATAAAAAAGAAACAAATTGAGCCCTGACAGATTTGGTTCAGCAGTTAGAGCGTCAGCCCACGGACCAATGACTCCCAGGTTCAATTTCAGCCAAGGGCATGTACCTCAGTTGTAGTTCATACCTGGCCCCAGCTGGGGTAGTACAGGTGGCAACCAGTCAATGTGTCTCACATCAATCAATGTTTCTCTCTCTCTCTCTCTCTCTCTCTCTCTCTCTCTCTCTCTCTCTCTCTCTCTCCCCCCCCTCTTCCTCCCTCCCACTCTATCTGAGGATAGATGTAAAAATATCCTCCGATGAGGATGGAAAAAAAAAAAAGAAACAGACATAATGGCACTTAACAGAACAATAAAGCCCTGGCTGGTTCGACTCAGCGTTAGAGCATTGGCCTGGAGGACCAAAGAGTTGTGGGTTCAATTTTGGTCAAGGGAACTTACCTGGGTTGCAGGTTTGATACCTGGCCCCAGTCAGGGTCATGCGGGAGGCAACCAATTTATGTGTCTCTCTCACACAGGTGTTTCTCTCTCTTTGTCTTAAGATCTGGAAACAGCCCAAGTGCCCATCAGTAGATGAGTGGATAAAAAAGCTGTGGTACATTTATGCGATGGAATACTATGCAGCTGTAAAAAAGAAGTTCTTACTCTTTTCTTTCTTTCTTTTTTAATCCTCAGTCAAGGATACTTTTCCATTGATCCTCATGACAGAGTAAGAGGGAGGGAGGGAGAGAGAGAAACACTGATATGAGAGAGACACACAGACTGGCCGCCCCCTGAACGACCCAGGGATCAAACTGCATCAGAGGCACGTGCCCTTGACGGGAATCAAACCCAAGACACCTTGGGCCGACCTCCAACCACTGAGCCAAACTGGCCAGGGCGAGGATTTCTTAACCTTTTCGACAGCATGTATGGAACTGGAGATTATCATGCTAAGCAAAATAAGCCAGTCAGAGAAAGACAATCATCACATGATCTTACTTATATGTGGAATCTGATTAACAAAATAGGCCAAGAGGCATGAATGCATGGAACAGACTGACAGATCTCAGAGGGAAGGGGTGGACAGGAAGAGATTTTCCAAACAATTTATATGCATATATGCATAGACCATGGACACAGACAATAGTGAGGTAAAGGCCTAAGGTGGGGAGGAAACTGGGTGGAGGAGGGAAAAGAGACAGAGAATGGGGGACATCTGTAATACTGTCACCGATAAAAAATATGTTGAAAAAACTGTCACCGATAAAAAATATGTTGGAAAAAAAAAGTTGAAATAATGGATGAAAACTTCCAAATTCTGGGGAGAGAAGTAGACATCCAGATTCAAGATGCTCATAAATCCTTAAACATATTTAATCCAAAGAGGGCCACACCAAAACACATTATAATAAGACTGAAAAAGAAAAGAAAGAGAGTCCAGCCGGTGTGGCTCAGTGGATTGAGCATTGTCCCATGGACTGAGAGGTCCTGGTTTGATTCCCCATCAGGGCAAATGCCCAGGTTGTGGGCTCAATCCCCAGTGAGGGGCATGCAGGAGGCGGCCAATCGATGTTCTCTCTCATTGATGTTTCTATCGCTGTCTCCCTTTCCCTTCTTCTCTCTCTAAAAATCAATAAAGAAAAACAAATTTTTTAAATCAATAAAGAAAAAAAAAGAAAAAGAAAAAAACCCCAAAAAACTGGGGACAGCCCTGGCCAGTTTGGCTCAGCGGTTAGGGCATCGGCCCACGGACTGGAGAGTCCCGGGTTTGGTTTCCACTAAGGGCACATACCTCAGTTGCAGTTTGTCCCCGGCCCAGGTTGGGGTCATGTGGGTGGCAACCAGTTAAGGTGTCTCTCTCATATCGATATTTCTCTCACTCTTCCTCCCTCTCTCCCTCCCACTCTGAAGATAAATGCAAAAATGTTCTTGGGTGAGGATAAAAAAAAAAAAAAAAAAGTGGGGACAGTGAAACAAAGGAAGAACTATGGTAGCAGTAGCAACAGGGGAGAACCTAGGTGGTGTTCTGCTTTGGCTCCCTAGAAACATAATAGGAAAGCAGTAAGCCAAGGCAGGGCTGCTGTCAGCTGACTGGGAGTCAGAGAAAAGTGGGCTATGGAGACAGGATCACAGGGTAAGACCACATGGAGCTACTGCTGTCCCCTGCTCCCCTGGATGCAAGTCTCATAGGGACTCTTAGAGTTACGGAAAAATATAAAACTCATGCCCAGGAGGAGGAATCGGTGTGCTCTAGGAGAAGCCCTCACTGAGTCTTTGTCCTGAGGGTTATTTTTTTCTTTATTGATTTTAGAGAGAGAGGAAGGGAGAGGGAGAGATAGAAACTTCTGAGAGAGAATATCAATTGGCAGTCTCCTGCATGCCCTCCACTGGTGATTTGGCCCACAACCTGGGCCTGGGCCCTGACCCGGAATCAAACCAGCAACCTCTTGGTGATGTTCAGCCGCTGAGCCACACCAGCCAGGCCTGAAGGGTTTTTCACACCACCCCCCCCCCCCACCCATGCAGGCAAGAATCTTAGGTTGTGGTTTCAGCAGAGTACCTTTCAGCTTTCCAGGTCTTTTGAATACGCTGATGTATCCAAATGAGTGTACAGGGGAGTTTTGGATTATTCTTTGTTCTGCTTTACTGTTTTACTTTTATCTTGGGTCTGTCTGGCTTTAATGGGGTTTTTGTTATTTGTTCCCTGACTTCATCAGTCCTTGGTTTTGGCTGGCACAAATGTCATTAATTGGATCTTTGTTCTCTATTTCAAAGACAATGGTGATTTAAGCTATGTATTCTCTGGTTAGGAAGGGGAGGTATAAACCATTTGATTTCAAGTGTCCTACGTTGGGGAAGATAAAGTCGCTGCAATTTCCCAGCGGGTTCAAATTGTTTGGCCTTGTTTAATTTTCTTTTTTCAGTTTCCCTACTCCTTCCCCAGGACTTTTCCTAGCTTCTTACTACCCTACCACATTCCCCCTTAGAGATGTCTAGCCCTAAAATCTTTTTTTGGTTGATTGATGAGAAATGACAGCCTATTTTCAGTAACTGCTTTCTGCTGAAAATGGCCATACACCTGCCTGCGTAGAGTATGGAAGTCTTTCCCCGTGTGATTTAAGGGAAGCAAGGGAATGGGATCTAAGACTGGAAGAGAGAGGCTGTTGGCTGATTATCCTAAAGTAGAGATGGGCTAAAATCCCCCAGAGTCATCATCTTGACATGGAATTGCTATATGCTAAAGGCAACGAATATGGCAAGAAGTGTTGTGGAGTGGAGGGCCTGGGACTTATTCTGTTCAATCCAACAGGGACAGAAAAACTCCTTTTCTGGGGGAGAAGGCTGAGTGTATTGAGAGGCTAGT